TCTTTCTTCATCTATGCGTAGCTGCTACCTCAACAAAACAACTTACACCTTTGTTACACCTTCTTCTTGCTAGTCCTGAACAGATCCTGGTACCAAAACCCACACTGGAGGTAACCAAGGAACAGATCAACATCACAAGTTCTCTCTCATGGGCTAATTAGCTCGACAGTCCTCTTCTGAAAGATCATTTGAACTGCTCCAAAGACAGCTGAGACTTCAGCTTTTGCCCCAAGTCATTCAGTTTGACTAAGCAGTCACAAGCATGGTTTGCTACAGAAGCCTTCTTTAGCGGGTACCTCTGTTTATGCAATCTTTAATCATAAAGACCGAGCCTGTGGTGTGACTGGTAGCACCACACACTTTCTTGGCCACTGTTCCAGATGTGTCAGGACCTTGCACACCAAGGGACTGCTCCAAACCTGGGGACTCCTCTGCCTGTTTCTGGTATTGTACCAGCATTTTCTTGTTCTCAGTAGAAAAGCTGTAAACAGTTAGACAAGGAATTAATGATTGGGAGTTGTTTGCATGTTCCCAAGTTAATCATGACAAATCTATATGAGGTCAATAAAGGTATGAATTAAATGCTTCTGGTAGTGCTTGATAGTACCTGTAAAGTGTTCACATGCACATATGTTTATAAAGCAGCAAATTAGTAAAGCCAGAAGCACTCTGAATAGTGTATTTATTTCTCCATTTCCCTCCCTCTTACTTGATACTGTATTTTATATAGTCAGGTTTCTAATCTTCATAGACAAGAACAGGAGACTGAAGAAATCAGCACTGAAAAGGCAAAACCAGAGTCATACTCTGAACTTGTATGCCTCCTCCATTTCCAATGATACACTATCAGATCTCATTAAATTTTCCACTTTAAGTATAGTATTGCAACTTTGTGGACAGTTGGGACATCAAATACTGATTGTGATGGTGACTTTGAACTTTCTAAACAGTCTCCTTACTGCAAAAGCACAAGGCAACACAATTCATACTCACAGACTTTTCCATTAGGGGTACAAGTTCTGGAATCCACAGTTCAGTAAGTTATTCTGTTCAGAAAAGTGATCTACATGTGGGATTTTCTTTGGTTTTGTTGGGTTTTGTTTTTATTACAATAACAGTTTAAAAAGTTAAATATATTCTTGCATAGATTAACAGTATGACTGTGACTAGAAGCTAAATCCCTATTCAGTTTTTTTTAATGTGAAAAAAGCAGGCCTATGGAGTATCCAACACCACTAATGTTTACGGACTTCAAAATAAGTATCCCAATTCAGAATTCTTACCTAAAAGCTTGTCCATTTATAAGAATTACAAGTTTCTGTATTCCTTGTTTCTAACATTTAATAACCAGTAATAAAACCCCAAACCAGCAGCTTTTTCTGCATGTCAGTAATCTATTTATTATTTCGGTTTCCTTTCATTTTTAAAAGTATTTCCCAACCCTTTCCATCTCCTTACAGCCCTGCTTATTAGGTACCTTCCTGATCAGAATAAAATATGAACCTACCTGCACTGGTGGATAGATAGCATAATTACCACTCTGCACTCTTACACAGGGAAGAGATCTATACACAATCACGCAGCAGCCAGAGTTTGGGTGCATTGCGAGTTGCACCAGGCCCTGTCTGCTCTAGACCGACGCTAATATTCACTGTTCTCCTATGAGCAGGCTTGTCAGTAATAAGAAGTGAAAGCACAGCCAAGAAACCTTTTAAAGATTTCTGTGGCTTGTAATCAATAACACCATGAATTATAGATCAGTTCCATGCAGGGATTTATTTGAAAGCCTTTCCCTGTGGGGACTTCAGTAAATGCACAAGCCTGGCTCACCAGTCTGCTAAAGGTCTGGTTAACACTGAATGAAAAGGGTTTTTTTTTTAATTCATATAGATATATATTTGCCTTTAACTGCATTTGGTGTTTGTTTGTTTTTTCTGAAGCAAACTAGATTTTTGTTCATCTGAGCCTGGTTTGGAAGACTGCTGTTCTGAGCAGTGTGGATACTGCTGGGTCCTCATCTGCACTGCTCAGCGCCGCCAGCTCAGCACGGAGCAAAGGGGGATGCAGCGCCTGGGGAACGGGAGGCCAGTGCTTTCTCAGAACAGCCTGGCTGAACTCCTGAATTACCTCTGACTGGGGGCATTTTACATGACACCTTTACGCTTCAGTTTAAGCGTAAAATTAAGCCACGTACAGTACAAAAGCCTTCTGTGGTTAAATCCTAAGTGAAACACAACCCTGCTCTGAGGGGTTAAGTGATACATAGGCTTTGAGCCAGAGGATGACAAAGGAGTGAATTTCACCAATTAAATCAATACATTTCTACTCATTCCATATGGGCATTTTGAAGTTTAATTAATATAGAGTTGGAAAGTGTTTTGAGTCTGTAGTTAAAAGCCATCATGAAAATGCGAATTATCATTAGCAATTGTGTGGCATCATTAAAAAATATCCTGGTTATTAATGCTATGTAAATTAACTTGCCTAGACCTGATGTCAAAGCTGTGTTTCTTCTAACATTGCAATGACAGGCCCCAGTCCCACAGACTTCGATAGCACTGCTTAACATTTTATAGTGCAGATAGTCTTCATGCAATACGTTTACCTGCTTGCACAAAAATGCAGAGTTTAAAATTAATATATGAAGCCTGCAAGGACTGGCTTGCTTAAAGCACAGAGGATTGTGACACTGAATGCAAGAGCATGGAGCCATTCTAATGAAAGCACAACTGCCTCGGGAACAAATGTTGCTCCATTTTTTGCACCCAGGATTAAATAGTTTCTTACCCAGTACAGCCCCTTCCATGTGCAATAAGCTTATGATGGCAGACCAACATGGCTTTTTTCAGCATGAAACAGACTTGTCCAACTTCTAATGAGAAACCCAGATCACAGTACTACATGATTACATATATATGTATGTATATAGACACAGACAGATATATATGTATACAGTCTCTCTAAATTTCAGCCTTAAGGCTCAGTTTTAACTTGCTCTATTAAAGGAGTTAATATTTGTGACATACAGAAGTACTGAGATCATGTAACTCCCTGTAACCACCAGGAGGTTTGGGGTTTTTTTGTTGGTGTTTGGTTTTGTTTTTTGTTTTTTTTAAACATCAGAAACAGTCCCTGATAAACAGTACAGTTGGTATAAATACTGGCACAAACAACTTTCTGGTAAAATTCAAGATGTCATTAAAACACTTTCCCTCCGCACAGAAGGATACTTCTTTTTAAAGAATGGAAAAATCTGAAATAAACACGCTGTTTCTTATCGATATAGTGAAGCGATGAATGTATTCTACCTGAAGAATTTAGTAAGTGGTATGGAAAGGATCTCCAGCTATGGATCCAGACACCTTCATTTACTTGATGCTGTTCACATACCTTGCAATAAGGTGGTCTCTGCCCCGAGGACCTTACCGTTTTGGACATGAGATGGTATGTTGGACAAATGGAGGACACACAAATAAACACTGAGGCAATACTGGTCAGAATGATAAGCAGCGATCTTGATGCATCAACTGCTTGAACACAGAGGTTTTTGAAACTTATCATTGTAAAACTCCCTCTTGGGGGCATTTAAACCTCACACAATTACATGGGACATAACTGCTTCCATCTTCTGCACTGGATTGGTTCTTATCTTCAGCTATTGCTGTGGAAAAGGTTTTACTTACCCCTCATATTTCTTGCTTTGTTTATTCTTTAGCTGGACACAACTCCCTCTACTCCCTGACAGATCAGGCCTTTTTGGCTGGGCTGTAGACTCTGCTAAGGAGGAGCATAACTTCGGACTAGAAATAAGTCTCACTGTCTTCAGCTTTATTGCTTCTTCAGTTGCCGGGCTCCTTGTAAGCTAAAAGGAAATGGTAATACATAAGGTTTCACCTGGATTCCTTCGCTGTAGCATCACCTCTGATTTCAATTATTATCCACTTAAAAAAACACCCACCGAGACATCTAGTGACTGTGACTTAGTAACCTCTTGCTTCCCAGCCAAATTATACAGTTTTTCCTGGAGTTGTGCTGTTGAATGCTGCATCATTAAGATTTCTCTTTGCTGCTTTAATAAAAGCTTTCTTTCTTGATGGGCTGCCCTGTAGATGTTTTGCAGGTGCTGGATTTCTGCCTACACAGAGCAGAAACAGAAAGGAGCGTAAGAGAGCTAAGATAAAAGAGAAACCTATTTCAAAATGGGTATAGTATTTCTTAACATAAGGCAATACTACTCACAAAACATGAAACCTGAGAATTCAATATGCAGGTCTTGTTCCTTTTTTGTAAAAAAATTTTGCAGTTTTATTTTTCACTAATGCTGACTGGGGAAACTGTGAAAACTAATGACAGGTAAGGGGATATTTCACTGCCTGGGAGATGGGGTGTCTCTGAGAGGCGAGACCTTTGGAAATGAATTATCTTCAGGCCATTCAAAACTACAGGATACGTCTGATTTGCACTCTGTTTGCATAGGTATTCCTTGAAGTAAAGGAGAGGCTTGTACTACATAGTGAGTAGGACAGAAATTTTCTGATTACAAAGTGTAATTGTGAGCCCAGCATTCCTCTCAGTAGCAGGAGAATTGAGACTATAAAATTAGCTGTCAGATTAATTTAATATATTTCAACATCAGAAGCATAAATCTGCATAAATCAGCAGAAATCTACATTATATGACCTGTTTGTTGTGGCACAAATAGAAAAGTCCACAAGGGGGGGGGGGGGGGGGGGGGGAAGGAAAAGGTGTTTTCTTTTCTCTAAGATTTACAGACTGCTGACTTTGGCACAAAAAATACCTCACTGAATGTAGGAAGCAAAGCAGAATAATGCATGTGCAATGACATCAGTGACATTTTTAAAAGCAAACCCCACTTGCTCCAGCAGCTCCAGGCACCTCCCTGTGTTGCACCCTCCCACTGTTTAGGAGATAAAATCCCGCTCCTCTTGCTGCAGCCTTACCTGCTCCTCTTTCAGCTCTGTTAGGATTTTGTGCTGCTTCGCAGCCATGGCAGAGGCTCCCTTACTATCTTGCAGGTTTTCCAGACAGCTGGAGACCAGAGAAGGATGGGGATCACTATCAGATAATTAAATGCCATGAATTTAATGCTCTTCAGAAAACAAGGCCAGGGATAGGATCAAAGCTCCTCTCAAAGCAGCAATAGCTATGGAAGGCTCTGCAGAAAGTTCTGCTAGAGTTGGAGGACATCTCACCACCCTGGGGCCATATCACCTGGGCCTCTCCCAAGGCAGCCAGACTTCCCTGAGCACTCAGTACACAGCACCGACTGGTGAGGGACGCCATGCACCCAGGGGGGCTCAAACTGTACCTCACGGTGCCCCAGCCCAGTCAGCGCTGAGGGACGCCATGCACTGGGGGGCTCACACTGTCCCCAATGGTGCCTCAGCCCAGTCAGCGCTGAGGGATGCTGTGCAGCAGGGGGCTCGCACCATCCCCAATGGCGCCTCAGCCCAGTCAGCGCTGAGGGATGCTGTGCAGCAGGGGGCTCGCACCATCCCCAATGGCGCCTCAGCCCAGTCAGCGCTGAGGGACGCCACGCACCGGGGGGCTCGCACCATCCCCAATGGCGCCTCAGCCCAGTCAGCGCTGAGGGACACCACACACCGGGGGGCTCACACCATCCCCAATGGCGCCTCAGCCCAGTCAGCGCTGAGGGACGCCGCGCACCAGGGGGCTCGCACCGCCCCGGACAGCGCTTCAGCCCAGTCAGTGCTGAGGAGGGGCTCACACCACACCTGAAGGAGGCTGCAGTAGGGACCTCGACTGCGCTCTGGAGAGAATAAAACTCTGCAGACTCCTCTCCTGCTCTACCTGCACTTACTCTGTAAGAGAAGGATTTTATATTTGCTCTCTTCCCCTGAGCAGGGACAGTTTTTCTTCCTTTGAGCAGGCAGCGGCACCTCCACCTCCTGCTGCAGGACCTGTCCCCATCAGGGCAGGCCTGTGGTGTCTTGCCAACACGTCTCCCCTCACCGTTTCTGGTGGCCCAGCCAGGCCAGCTCGGCCCTGGCTTTCTCCCGGAGAGCTTTTTTGCGGAGTTTGAGGAGGGCAGCCTGGTGTCGAGCTCGCAGCTCTTCTCCCCTCAGACACTGCTCCGCCATGGCCAAGCTGAAATGGCAGAAGGAGCCTCCATAGTGCCGGCCGACTTCACTCCACTGGGGACAGAGCAGACATCATGTTTATTGGAGAAGTGCTGTGCGGGTGACAAGTTCGACATGGGGACTAAAAGCCAAAAAATCCCCCAAAAACCAAACACCCCACACACTAGTACGAGAGCTGGTGTTACCTGGCTGTCAGAACTGGCTTGTTGGCTGCTCTCTCCAGAGTCGTCCCCTGCACAAGTCTCCCCATGGGGCAGATTCACCAGAGGTGACAACAGATTCAAAGTTTGATGGTCGTGCAGTGGCTCCCTGTGCTCTGCCAGCAGAGATCCTAAGGAGAAGATTTAAAGTCACCGTAAGTAAAATATTTCTCTGTAACAGAAGGAAAAAAGACCTCAAAACCAGTTCCCATAGTACATGAGTTAGCATCCATTCCTGAATTCAAGGTGCCTTTGCAAAGATTTGGCAGCCAGGCCTGTGCGCTGCCCTCAGCGGGAGCCTGAGGAGAGTCACCCCACAGCCGTTCACCTACAGGAGCAAGTTGTGAACACTAACCTCACTTTCAAGTGAAATCATGGTAAACAGGTAAAAAAAAAAAAAAAGGGGGCCTATATATAGGGTAAATAACTCTCAGCTCCCAAGATTATTTTCTGTAGAAGGGTGAGGAGTAGAAAGGGAGATCGCTATGGTTTAAATATGCATAATGAATGTAAGTATCCAGGTCAAAATTTTCAAAATCAGTTAGCAAATTACTGAAATCTGTGATTATGTGTTCCAGCCCCTGGATGTTGCACTGTTTCTCACGCCATGCTAGAAAGCGGTGGTGTTTACCCAATACCACCAAATCCCTTGACTTAGTGTTCACCTTCTTGAAGCTCGGAGCAATATGAACCCCTTCCTCCCAGAGGTTTTCTTTCTCCCACTGTTTTGGGATCCACTGGACTGTGATCTCTTTCTGTCTTCAATGCAGATTCTTTCAGTGTATGCGTCTCTTGATTACTGAAGGCAAGAAAGGAAGAAAATATTTTCTTATTGCAGTCAGAGATACTATTTCAATTCCTAGCTTTCATAGCAAAGTCCTCTGTGGAGGCTGAATCTTTTTCAATGAGCATGGTGCTCATTTTTATGCAATATTGGAAGTTTTACCTGTGCAAAGTTGCCTTTCTGGTAATTGTATCTGTGACTCTAGAAGCAATTCTCAAGTCTCTAATCTATGCCACTTTAAATGAACATAAAAGTGTGCACATACAATATTCTTATTCATACCAAGGTATACGATGGTAAAGCAAAATGAGGAAAATTATATTTTCACCACAAATTTCAAAGGGGCTTCTACCTTTTAAAAAAAGGCAAAATCTCCCACAACATCAGAAAGGGGTTTATACTATGGTTTGTGCATAAATCAGAGTAGAAAGATTGTATTGCAAAGTTGGATGCTTCACAGCAGAGATCTGAATGAATAAAACAGGCCATAGTCTTAAAGATGACGTGACAGCCATGTAAGCTGTTCTTAAATGACTTGAAATGAACATCCATTTTAGAAACAGCACGGTGCAAATGCTCTAGAGCCCCAAGTCATTCATATAGTCAAACCACAGGCTAAACCAAAGTGCCTCGATGTATACTGCCTCCCGTACCTGCCAGCTGCGTTGTCACCTTCCAGTTGGTATCCTCTCCACATTCGCTCTGCATGGTCCAGTCTTGGCACAGAAGAATACCTGCCTTTGGAGCTACTGCACTCCTGTAAACACAGAAATTGTGGACCCGAACGATCCATTTGAAAGGCAGGACTTTTAAGCCTTCTTCACTCATCCTCTTGGGAAAGCCCTTCATTGTTGATAATGCTTTTCATATGCCAATAATTCCTAAAGAGTTGGATTAACTAATGAGCTGGCTACTACTCACAGTGAAAAAACTACGTGGGCATATGGAAGTGAGGTAGTACAACAGCTCACAAACTGTTGTGTATTTAGAGCTGCTTTCATGGGAGCCAGGGTACTGTGTTCATCCTAAGGGCTTTAAAAAAAACCCAAAACAACATACAGAGATCACTTCTGTCTGAGCTGTTCAAACATATTGGGAGACATTAATTGAGCTAAAGTATCCTCCAAAGCAAATACTCTCAACGATGTAATGAGAGCTTGGAATTGCACATGAGGTCTGAGCTTGTGTTTATGCATATGGGGCTAAATTCTTATTCTAACAAATAGACACTCAAGTCCATCAGTTCCTAGCTGACTTCAGAATCTGAGGCTGGAAGGTAAACAACAAATAAACAGCATGCTAAAGTTTTTGGGTTTTTTTAGTTTTTTTTTTTTTAAGGATACTTTTTCATCAAGATCAGCATCTCACTAGGCCCTCATGTCTGAGCAAGTATCACAGTAATTATCTCTTGAGGACTTAAAAACCTTCGTCTTGATTTTACAGCAAAACCAGCCATAGACAGCAAAGGCTGCAGTACCTAAGCGATTTCAGATCAACAGTCCAAATGACAGCCTAAGGGAGTCTGTTACCTGAGAGGCCTGGGCACTGCCAAAAAGTTACCCTGATCTACAGTTTTTATCAGTTTAAAAATCCCCTTTTGATTAAGGGACTCTAAGTGAAAAACAGAACAGTGGGGATTTGAGGAACATTTTGCTGAATCCAGAAGTGGTAACACAGGATCTGAAATGACAACTCACCTCAGAATTGTGCTGAAGCAGGTCACTCAAAAACCTCTGGCTTTCTTGAACCTCTAGCTTCGCTTTCTCCCTCAGCACTGCAAGCTGCTGTTTCTGCTGGAGCTGATAGACCTGTGTTAGGAAATGACATGCTATAAACGATATTTTTAACAAAGTCACATGACTTCTCAAAGCCAGGGGACAAAGGGCAGTGAACTCTGAGAGAAGACAGCACAGGTCTTCTGTGCCATTGTGCAGCCAGCTCCTGTCGCATCCTGCTGCCCTTGGAAGGCAGTACAAGCGCTTGCTTCAGCAGAGCGATGCATTCTTGCCCACCAGTAGCTGAACTAGGATCTCCAAACAACAAACTAAGGCTAGCACCTCTCCTTTACAGCTACACAGGGTTTATAAACCTGATGCATAGTCAGCTGATGCCAACTGATTATAGCCTAAACACACCTGAACCCAGGGACAGCTAGCACCTTTTTACCTGGGACAGCAGAACTTGAATTGCTCTTTGCTTGTTGCATAGGTTGCTTACTGTACCTTCAGTTTGTGAGCCAGTAGTAGGGAGGTTTGCCTCAAATTGTCCAGATGGCTCCTGTGTTTCTCTTCCAGTTCTGTGCAGCTAGGGTCTCCCTCACCTGCAAAAGCTTAGGAAATAGATGGTAACAGTCAGCACTTCTTAATTAAAAAAATCTGTGCTCCATTTAATAGGTACTAGCTGAAGAAAGTATCAGAGTTAACCAGAGGGAGGGAGGGGATGCAGATCCCTTCAGATTCCAGTTGCTGCCCTGAAAATGTGTTCTATGCTGTCACAGTTTTTCAGGATTTAAGCATTTGCTAAGTGTTTTGCCAGCAGGGCTGACTTGCTGGGTCACCGCTGAGGCCAGGATACCTTGTAAACAATCTAACAGTATCGTGGTATTTTCAATGGGGCACCAGGGCATCTGCTTCTCAGCATTCTTTGCTGCATTTCAGGCCTGACTGTACTTCTCAAAACATGCCTGAGTCATAATACGTAAACTTAATCAAGAGATCACCAAAAGGGGAAGCGGGAATATATACATTGTCCCTAATTGCGTTTTCCTTTTGAATCCTCCCTGGGCCTATTTTTGGAAGCCGCCTGAATCTGATGTCTGCCTTTATTCCTGGAATAGCTTCTCTGCATACATTTACTTCTTCTACCATATCTGAAGAAGGAAAATGTCGCTACCTACATCCTGT